AAACTTTCCCGCTCCGGCATTGGAACGCGGGGGCGCGCGAGGCAGTAAATATTTTAAAACGATCGTTTAAAATCAACCGTTTGTATTATGCCAATAAAAATCGTTACCAACAATATATATGGTGTCAGCTATCGTGTCATTGTATTTTTAGTTGAAAATATGGATCAATAAAGGAGCTAAAAATCAGTAAAGTTGAAAATACAGCCGAAAATCAGCCCCGTTCGGACGCCGCGAACGCGGCACGCTATTTTGAAGCCGCCGGGCGGAGACGTCTTCTTCCACTCAAAAGCCACAAACCGCTCGGGCCTGTAGAACTTTGGGAATGATTTGATGTGAAAGGGCAGAGTTCAGGGTTCACGACAGTGGTGGGACGAAATCGCTACGTCATCGCTGGCGGGAGGTACGAGTCAGAGAAGTGAAGCGTCCAAAAGTATGTGAAAAATTTTGCTATTTTGTCCGCCCATAGCAACAAATATAAACACCTTATGGTTATGTTGGTGTAGTTTTTGTTTCATTTGAGGCGAGTTTGAGCTGTGGGTTTAGCGAAACATTTTGTTAGTTTTTTCCCGGCCGCCGGAAAAATGGTGCGTGCAATGCGCGCGGCCGTGGGGGGAGGGGGGCGTGAGATCGCGAACGTTGTCGGTTTAATTCAACCTATAAACATAATTTCCGCTGCTCTGTAGTAAATTATATATTCTAAGCGTAAGTGTGTTACACTTTTAATTTACGACAACGTGGCATATTTTGGACGAAAAAAAAACTTTAGCCGGATCATGAGATTGTCATAAATGTTATGTTTTGTCCATCGTGATCAATGTTTACCCAGCCCCTGATGTAGATATTTTTTTGTTTACTGATCTAGCTTTGAAGAAAAAAATTCAAATTTCTGGTTTCTGATGTCAGATACTAAGGCCAAATCTAGTAACCTCATTTTTTTATATTGCCAGTTGGTTGATTTCATTTTTTTTTTCAAATCTTAATTCAACAAAGAAAAGTGAATCATCCTGAACATTTTGAATGGCTATTGTTGTTGTTGTTGAATCTATTACTCCGCTCACTCTTGTCAGAAGATGGTCCCATGTGATTGTCTTCTTTCTTCCTGTGCATTCTCTCTTCCCAGTGTACCTATCTCTTGTTGCTTTTTTCCAATTGGTCGGCTTCATGTTCATTGGTGGTTTCCTCTTCTATTCTTTTCTTGTTCGTTTTCTTAGTTTTCTGTTTTCTTATTCGTTTCCTTAGTTTTCTGTTTTCTTTTTCCATTGGCTATTTATATATGGCTGTACATGTATATGAAAGTACACAAAGAGACTAGATACTAATTCTACCCATATTTTATTTTAGTGGATGAAGAAGAGAAAAATGCAGGAGAGCT